GAAAAAATACTTTAAACTATTTAAAAAAATTCAAATTTAAAACGGGTCAGTTTGACCCACAGCATAACAGGAGGGTTAAATGTTTAAATTTAAAAGATAAACCAGAGTTATTTTGTCACATGGAAAACATCTTAGAATATTCCTTATTTTACATAAGATCTAGAGGAACTTTTATGCAACAGCCTGTAAAAAAATGAATAAAAAATAAAAAAGTTTAATCTATAAAAATACCAAAAACTAAACAGTTTAGTTTGATAATTTAAATTGTGTTTTAGTGCCAGGGACGTGATCCAAAAAAGGTTTTAGCAGAAAACTATGACCAACTGAAGGACATTATTGTCTCTGTCGAATTCCTTTCGTTTCTTAAAGATGTGACCTTCAGATATGCCTGATATTTCCATACATTTTGAACACAAACTGCACAAAATGCTGCTGTGGTCAAAAATGAGAGAGATCAATTGGAAAATAATGAAGAGAAACTACCTTTAGGGCGCCTCTTTACTCYAACCACTTTAAAACATTTGCACACCTCACCTGGGTGCGAACGACACAAACTGCATGTTGGAAGTTTGCTGACCTGCAGCTGTGCCACAACTTTGAGGGGCCACATGATTCTGTAACGTGTCAGGGACCACTGCCAGATCTAGATGTCTGAGCACATTTCCTGTTGTTTCCAGTGATTCTGTGTGGTAGGCCCTTGTCGTCATTAGTGCCACAGGGCCACCTGGGTTGTTGTCTGCATATCYTCTATTATTTTCCTCCTAAATTCCCTTCCTCCTGCGTGAGCACACTGGAAAACAAACAGACGCTCATTAGCATGTGTGACCCGCTGGTGGTAAACGGATTTATTTCCACATGGCTGCAGTGCGAGAATGGATTTCAGCAGGACAGTCGAGGTAGGTGGGCCCGCCGGCTGCCTTCATGAGGACTTTAATGGGGACTTAACAAATGCAAGTGGACAGGCACAGCATTCTCTAGAACAGTGGGGTCATGCTGGTACAGTGGCCAATTGTTTGAGGGTGACTCGCTGTATTACAAGTCTTGGGTGGCCACTGATATTCACTTCAACATTTATTGTGCCCTTTTTTTTTTGGCCTCTCACTGCTAATTGTCAGATTGCAACGGATGCGGAGTGCTGTCTGCCAGAGCTGAGGTAATGTGTGGCGTTCAAATAATACCCCTGTGCTCTGCTCTGTGAAGTGATGAAAGCACCCTGTAATTACAGTGATKATCAAAACTGTCACAGGCTCTTCTATGGATGGTTTTGTTTACCGTCTGCTGCTCTCATAGCCTCACAGACTGCTGGTCTCCAACCTCCCAAGCCTGGGCTTGTAACCTCGAAAGATCGCTACAATTGCACCTGTCTAAAAGTCAACCAAATCTGATGAGTTTGATCCAGATCAGATGTACAAAGGGCACAATGTGAACCTGAAATTTAAGTCTCGAGTGTACAGAACAAGATGTTCTTGCATATTTTTTTGGGACTGTTTTTTTTTTTTTGTATGGTGTGTAAGGTTATTAACGGGTTCAGCAAAGAACTAGAAAAGTTCAGCAGCTCTATTTCTGCGAAATGCGGATGAAAAGTTTATTCTTAAAAACATATCTATCAAAGGTCATCTTTTCATGCTAATATCTGTAGGATTATTAAAAACTTTCTCTCTCATATTGGCAATCTCAGGTCTGCAGTTAGTTCTGTTCTCCTCAAGATGGCAGCAGTTCAGTACATTTTCCAAAGAAAATGAGAGTCCAGAGTTGATCCAGGAGCAACATCTCAKCTTTACAGGATGCAGCCTTTACAGAAGATCAATTGGTCATCCATACGTTTCACACATCTTACAGGGTTTTGTGAACCGACTCATAAAAACCGGTCTCAATCAGGTTTGATTCCTGACACCAGGAAAAAACAGAGCAAAAATGCAAGGATGTTACACTGCAAAATACTGATAACATAGAATGCACTGTTTTCCATTTTACACACAGTTAATCACAAAACAGTTATTTGGAGCATTTTGTTAATTCGTTATAAATAAAGCACCAGAATGCCCCATTCACACACATATATTGACCCTTTTCTCAGTTCTTTGTTGTAACAGCTCTGGCTGCAGCTACAACTTTTAGGAAACCTTCTGGAAAATGGTTTGACAACCTTGCAACACTATTATGTTAAATGTTTGCTCTGTTCTTGGATGATCAGCTGCATTCACAATGGCTTTCTCCTGACTTTTCATTGTCCTAGAATATGGCCACTTCAAAACTAAGACTCTTCTGCAGCCTTGTCCTGCAGAAAATGTTTATTTTATTTTATTTTATTTTATTTTTTGCTCAGGATACTTCAGTTTTGCTGTCTACTCACTCTCCCAAATCCAGCGGCATTAAAAACATGTATGCTTGTGGTGGCTGTAGTTTCACTCACACATATTGAATATTGTGGCAAAATAATCATATGAACAGCTGAATCAGCTACCCCTTGCGACAGAGCTTTTGTGATTAAAATCCTTATTCATTCACTTTAGCTTCACAATCACTTATGTTCAAAAAATTTACTTAGATGGCTGCTCCAGTTAGGTCGTGAAAAATCCCATATTTAGTTGCCAAGGCCTCACTACTTACATAAGCTGAACAGTCCCATATTATTTCAGATTTTCTTTTCAATAAAGCCACAAATTTATTTCAAAGCCAGGTTTTGTGTTTGCTTTTGTTTGTTTTGTTATGAGAGGATTAAAAAAAACTACGATTGTGTTTTTTTACTGTGCCTAAATTAAACAAAAATGTAAAAAAGCAGATTTTTATTGTATTTACTCACAGCCTTTTCAGCTTTTTAAAGGCAGTTGCATAGCATAGGCTGTAATAGTAATCTTGTATTTCTGCATCAACTCCTCAGTTTTTTTTTTTGAAGGCACAAATAAAACCGACTAAAAAGTATGATCAAAACAAGCCGGATCCTGGACCTGCAGCCCAGATTTTTTTCCACACCGCTTCGTGAAAACAGTCGCTGCTGCTGCTGTGTGGAGTAAAGATGYAAGAATAGAGGTCTCACTCTGTTTGAAATTTTAAAACATGAATGCCTATTAAAATGATGTCTCAGAGTGTTTTTTCGTTTAAAATGCAGTGCTGATAATAACTCTATGTAAAAATAATTGAGGGTTTATTTGATCAAATTGATATCCACTCACTGTAAAATGTTGCTTCAATGATGGTTAAGAAGAGGCCGATTACCATGGTAACTGGTCCCTCACCCGCGGCTGAACTGCGGTAGTAGTGACGCCCTCCTCTTTCTGGACTGGAAAGCCGAGGAAGAGTTGGAGTGATCCATTATTCCTTACAGAGACGATCTCTGTTCACGGCGCCGTGTTTACAGCGAACGCAGCAGACTGCAGACTGACCGCGCGAGCCTGTGGGTTAATCTGCCTAACTACGGCTCCCTTTCGGCTATCAGTCGACGGAGAACATTAAATAGCAAAAAAAGACCTGCTCTCATCCGAAGCAACAAGGTCAAATATTCGGTTTTCGGTCACAGAAAGGCTACCACAACAACGCGCTGCGTGTGCGTGCGTGCGCGATGACCGGCTGAGAAAGAAGAGAAGGAGGAGGAGGAGAGAAGGAGGCTGCGGTCTGAAACCAGATTTTATCCTGGATATTTCTGAAGAGACGTCGTGTCGTTAACAGGGCAGTGTTTAAATTTAACATGTCTCTGTATGTCCCAGTCTACCAATTTCACTTGCAAATTTAGGGCTGGTTTCTGCTTCTCTAAAAGACCCCCCACCAGCAGCAGCGGTGGGACGTTTACGGGTTTTCCCCCCTGATATGGAGTGGGAAGATGTGGATTACCGAGGAATCCCCGCCGCTACTTTAGTCGCCATGGTTTCATTCATCGCCTCAATGCGGCGTTGTCTTTGGCAAGGATAAATTGAACAGGGGCAGCCGGATAAATTGGTGATTTTTGGACCGGAGTCCCGTTAGGAAACGCGACGGCGTCCCCGCTCTCTTGTTTGTTGTAGCTATTAGCTCCATTAGCCGGCTAACAGCTAAAAAAAAAAAGCTGCGGATTAAACAGGCGTTTTAACCATTCTGACCAGGTTTGTTTCCCTCCTCACGTCCCCTCCTCCACAGCGTGTTTAATAAGATTTCAGGGGGATTCACGTGTGTGGGAACTGGGTCTGGAATGGAAGGGAGCCGCTTGACCTTGTTTTGGGGTCTGATGCTGGGTCTGTCGTCCTGCCTTCGGCCCGCCACCGCAGAGAGTAAGTAAGGCTGCTCCGCACCACCACAACTCACTCTGGGACACGGTGTTTTTTCACGCTCCCACTGCAAATTAAACCCCAAGAAGGTTATTATTATTATTATTATTATTATTATTATTATTTTACCTAAACGCAATGATTTACTTGTAGAGACAACACACTTTTTTTCACCTTGTAAATGTATTCACTCATTTCAATACAGACAATTTAAAAAAAAAGAGAAAAATAAACCCCACATAAAACAAAACCTTTAATATAAACAGATTTAAATGCAAATGATTTGTCAAAAACAAATAATATACCTTTACTTAAAGATAAAGTATTTACATGAAATTATTTTTATGCTACCTATTGACATTTAATTTGGTTTTAGTCAGCCCCATGAAATCTCAAACATCTAATTGTCAACATGTCAACCACAACTCAGATTTAGATGTGTAAATAATCTTATCTGGTCCATTCTGTTTTAAAAAATGTAGATTATGTTTTGTCAAAAATAATTGTTAATATTTAACAGAGAACTGTTTTCACTCAGCTGTTTTCTTTTAACAAGTTTAAACTTCTTTGTTAATAATTAAACACCCACTCAAATAATTGGCACGTTTATATACCAACGTATTTCTATATAATCGGGTTTAGACATATTTTCTTGTGTGCAGGTAGTTTTACAAAATGTTTAGTATATGTTGATTGATATGAGTTTTCAATTTTTTTGATCAAAATGTATTTTTTATCGGACACAATAAAACAATAACCGTTTGTCTTAAATAATCATGTTTAACAACCCTTATAAGAACATGTGCATATAAAAATAACACATAAAAGACCATTTGTGCTTTAAAAACTACTCTGTGGGCTACAGTACYCTGGTTCAATAACTTCCTTTTCCTACTTCCTGATTAGGTGTGTTGAGACAGGGCTGGTTGCTTTTTTATTGGCTTCTGTCTGCTTATTATTCATTCCAGCTCTAATCTTTTCAAGTTTTTTTTTTCAAAATGGGCCAAAATCAAACAAGTGCAATAGTTTTGTCCAACATCAGACCTGGGGATGTCTTGACCTTAGGCTGATGGAGCTGTGTTCATCAGGCTCATCAGCATCCTCCTATTAGACAMATAGCTTCACCCAGAAGTGCTGAGGTTGTTTTGAATGTTTAGAGCTCGTTTTGAAGCTTCGACAGAACAAAGACCGGATCTTTCCACAGGACTGACAGAACCTCCTGACATCTTGTTAAACCTTCTGATTTGATTAATTCATAGTGTCTTTATTTTACCCAAAAAAACGTTTGTTTTATGTGTTGCCGTCTGAAATGGCTCCAGCTAAATTGTGAACTAGGCTTTCTGATTCATTCTCATTCATCATGACATGCTGGGGTTTAGGGGGGGGGGAGGAGGTGTGGTTTACAAGGTTGAACCAGGGTCTGGGTTTTAAAATAGAACAAGCCAAAGAACACTCATAAGCAAAAACAGACTGGGTTCTGTTGATTTGAAAGAGTGAGGAGCTTGTGGACCGCGTGTCATGGGGTTTACTGTTCGCCCCGGTGGTTACAGGATGAACCTGGTAGCAGCAGAGAGGCTCTCCCACCCCTGCATTTATGCTAACCCCGGTGTGGCGCTGGCTGAGTATTTCTGGTGTGSCTGAACCCCCCGAGCATTCTTGCTGGTTTACTGTACTAGCTGGGAGCTGCTAACAGGTTTGGTTTAATCCGCTCCATCAGCCTTGCTGCCTTTCTGATCAGTCGAGTTTTCGATTCTGTCAAGACTTGACTTTTTTTCTTTAGGCTTTCCAGTGAGTTTCTTCCAACCTTTACAACTCATGTGGAAAAGTATTTATGAATACGTTTGTCCCCTTGGTCAACCTGTCACAAAGATTATGGAAATTAGCAGTAAATGGCTTTGCTGCAGTCTAGTGGCTACTGGATGAAGCACCAGCTTGCAGAGTATATTGTTTCTTGTTTTATGGAGCTTCTAGTAGATTTCCTCTGATTGTCTGTGGACTGTCTGGGTCCCGCAGCCAGCCCCAGGAAAGGTTATCAAAAGTAAATATGTGATCTGGAGYCTCATCAAAGCTGCAGAGATAGGCTTGTGTACTCAGCTGTTCAAAACCTGTCTGTGTGGAAGCAGTGGGAGGGGGTCTTAATAAGCTCTTACACCTGCCAGTGGTGTTTTCCCTTCGCTGGTGCAAAGATGTACATTTAGATCGGAGGCGATCGGGGGCTCTTGTTTCGGATCGTCACGAGCGGGAACAGCGGCAGCTCTCATCAAAGATGGCCATGCTGGTGCCACAGAGAGGCCACAGAGGGTGAAGCCTCGAGCCTGTGGTGATGTAACGTCACTGAGCAGTGTGCCTGTTTTCTTTTTTTTTTATTTACAGGCCCGCGTGTTGAGAGTGTATTAACAGGTATGCAGCTTGTGTGTTGACAAGTAGATTATATAGAGAGAGACATAATAAGCACGCCAGAACTCTTCCTGCTCTAAATCACCTTAAATGCCCTTTTGTGTGTGTGTGTCTTTGTGTGTATATGTGTGCTTTCTGGTGGTCATGAATGAAACATTTATACATGGTTGTTTTTTTCTGGAAAACACAAAATTAAGAAAATATGTGTTGCTTTGTTTACTACCTCCTACTTTAACATAGTTTCATCAAAGGAAATACACATGTTTGATATTTTGGTGGCAGACACATTTTTGAATAAACAGGAGTTTGACTGACATTTTTTTCACCTTTGTTTAAAGTTTCATGACCTGTGCTTAATGAGAGACGCTGATTTAACTTGTGTTTGCTTCAYTGAAAGAGATTCTGCTCCTCATTCAAGTAAATAGTTTTAGAAAATAGAGAACAGACAATAAGAGGGTGGTGCAGTTGTGGTGTGGTTACACAGCTATAGCGTCACAGGTGTCAGGTTCAAAAAGAGGCCTTTCTTTTTGGAGTTTTTATATTCGCCTTGTGCGTGCCCAGGGTTTCCTCCAGGTACGTTGGTTTCCAACAACAGCCCCAAAACATCCATGTTAGGTAAATTTTTAAATTGCTCGTAGGTGTTGCTGTTGTAGGGGTCACCTCGAGTTCATGATTGTTTGTTTTGTTTGTATGTTCAGGGTGTACCCCACCTGTTGCCCGATGGCTGTGGAAAATAGGCGTCTGCTCCCCATGACCCTGATAGGGCTTCAGCTAATGATTAATTTAGTAATCGATTATCTATCGGTTATTCTGACGATTAAMCGAGTAATTGGATATTTAAAAAAATGTCATGTTCTGCAGTAATTACTTAAGCTTACTTTATAAGAAATACAGCTATTTAATATTGTGAAGAGGTAATCTACACTTGTTGATGACCCTGCTGCAGTCAAAGTAAAATTGCAATACCAGTTGTATTGATTCATGAATTTTTTAAGCTCCACTTGTTTGTATTTATATATATGAGGTTTGATGAGGCATTAATTAAAAGCACTCTGTCACTGAATCATTTTAACCATCAATGAAAAATCTAAATGCTGTAAATTTATTGTTATGGATTGGAAAATTGAATGTCTTTTTTTTGGGTTAGAAATTTAATAAGTAAAATGGGTAATATAAACATTTGGGTGTTGCAATTGAGTTTTGTAGAGTTCACTAACAAAAATTATTTTAAGACTGCTATTAGGTTGATGCAGGGCTCCCATTTAGGCAATAAAAAGTTTAGTCATGACTGCTTAGCTATAAACAAATGAAGGCTAAAATCATAAAAAGCAGCACAAAATAATTAAAATAATCCAACTGTCTTATATAAATACTTTTAAACTTGAAATATTCACTCCAAGTATCATTTAAACTAAGATAAAAGCATATCAACAAATAAACGTTTCAGCTGAAGCTGTCGACCTCTTGCTGTGCTTTTATTTTAATCTGACAAATTTACAGTAAGTCTTGTTTTTAATCACACAAATTACACAC